ATCGCTGCTACAATGGGGATGAACCTTGAACACTTGAACACACTGTGCTGAGTGACAGAAGCCATACACAAAAGGCTACATAGTGTGTGACTCCATTGATATAAAATGTTCAGAACAGGCAGGGCACAGTGGATCACACCTGTAATCTTAGCACTTTGAGAGGCCAAGGTGGGAGGATCGCTTGAGGCCAGGAGTCTGAGACCAGCTTGGGCAACACGGGGAGACCCTGTCTCTACAAAAAATTGAAAAAATCAGTCGGGCATGGTGGTGCACAACTGTAGTCCCAGCTACTCTGGAGGCTGAGGCAGGAGGATCGCTTGAGCCCAGGAGTTGGAGGCTGCAGTGAGCCATGATGACACCATTGCACTCCAGCCTGGGCGATAGAGTGAGACCCTGACTCTACCAAAAAAAAAACAACAACAACAAAAAAAGGAAAGAAATGTCCAAAGGTCCAGAACAGGCGAATCCACAGCGACAGCCCAGGCCCCTCCTGTTGGCGTTGGGCTCTCAGCTCACAGGGGGCCCCGCCTCCACTGCGACCCAGCTCACAGGGGACCGAGAGGTGGCCCCTTCCCTGCGCCCCCGTCCTTGGCCCTGCTCCCCAAGGGTCGGCCCAGCCCGGTGGCACCTGCCCTTCCTGGCGCCCGCCGCCTCGGCGTCCTGCCGCGCGCTGGGTCTCGGAGCACGGTCCCCCCGCACGGCGCCACCGCCGGCATTCGCTCCGGCCCGGCTCTTCCCGGGGCGACGCGGCCTTACCTCCACCACCACGCTGCGCCTGACGTGGTCCATGCCCACGGGGACCCTCCTGTCGGCGTGGCTGTCCTCGGCGTGCTTGCCGGGCCTCCCGTCCTGGCAGCACCTTGTGTCTCCATAGGCGAGGGCTTTGGCTGCGGGGATGTGGCTGCCACTGTCAGGGCAGGTCCCCGCCCGGGGGTGCCCCGTCCCCTACGCTCGTCCCAGGAGCGCATGTGTGTGCAAGCGTGTGCAAGCGTGTGCACTTGTGCGTGAGTGCGCGCACCTGTCCCTCGGGACAGCCCTGACCTCACCGGCTGCCCCGCCCGCCCGCCCGCCCACCCCCTCGCCCAACGGCGGTCAGGCCCTGGACCCGTGGTGGCCTGCAGAGGGGTGCCCAGGACGCCGGGACCGTCACCTGTGATGTCGCTGAGGCCCAGGTCGCTGAAGGACAGAACGACCCAGCTGGGCTCGGCCTCCCCAGGGGCCACGCACGTCTTCTTGGCCAGGTGGCGTTTGCCAGGGTGCCCGACGAACTGGACGCCCTTGGGGACCGAGAGCTTCACGTACACCTGCGGGGGTGGCGTGCGCTCGTGGTGCCTGCGATCGGGCCGCCCCCCGTGCCCGCCGCGCAGCCTCGTCAGCCCCTCTAAGAGCCAGGCTCCTCGGAAGGCTCCTTCCGCTTCCGCTCAGACGGCCCGCCGCGTCCGGCTGCCCACGCTGCCCCGCCACGCCCGCCTGCCTTCCCCGAGGCCCCTCGGCCCTCAGCCCCTGCGGACACCCACAAGTCCAGACCCCGCACCGGGTCAGGGGCCGCCTCTCCCGCGGCACCCGCCCCGGGACCCCAGACAGACGCAGCCCCACCCCTGCAGACCCCACAGGGGGCTTCCTCCGACTCTCTCTCCAAGCACTGAGCTCCGCCGTGTCACAGTACAACTCCGTGTACGCCCGTGTGCACATGTGTGTGCTGCGAATGCACACATGTATCTCTGGGTGCACATCCGTGCGCAAGCATGGGGTGAGCACACACATGCGTGTGTACAGTGGGTAAATGCGTCCATGTATGTGCATGCTAGTGTTTCTGCATGCACTTGTGTGCCTGGATGTGTGCATGTGTGATGTGGATGTGCTGTGGATGTATGCAGGGGTTGCCCCGTGCACACGTGTGCGTGTATGGGTGTGCCGGCATGGCATATGTATGTATGCACACCTGGAAGGCATGTGTGCACATGTGTGTGCATGTGTGTCTGTGTGCATGGCAGTCTGTGTGTGTGCGTGTGCGTGTATGTGTGCATGGCAGTCTCTGTGTGTGCGTGTGTGCTCCTGTGTGCATGGCAGTCTCTATGTGTATGCGTGTGTGTCTGTGTGCATGGCAGTCTCTATGTGTATGCGTGTGTGTCTGTGTGCATGGCAGTCTCTATGTGTATGTGTGTGTGTGTCTGTGTGCATGGCAGTCTCTGTGTGTGTGCGTGTTGTGTGTGTGTCTGTGTGCATGGCAGTGTCTTTGTGTGTTGAGCGTGTGTGTGCCTGTGTGCATGGCAATCTGTGTGTGTGTGTGTGTCTGTGTGCATGGCAGTCTCTGTGAGTGTGTGTGTGTGTGTCTGTGTGCATGGCAGTCTCTGTGAGTGTGTGTGTGTGTGTGTGTGTCTGTGTGCATGGCAGTCTGTGTGTGTGTGTGTGTATGTGTGTGTGTCTGTGTGCATGGCAGTGTCTTTGTGTGTTGAGCGTGTGTGTGTGTGCATGGCAGTCTCTGTGCGTGTGTGTGCACTTTCAGCATTCTTCCAGGAAGGAAGGAAGCAACTCAACAACCGTCAGCGAGCCGCATTTTCTAGGTTCCTGGTGAAGTGATCAGCTGTCCCCACTGGGAGGGTCTAGCTGGTGCTGCTGTCCCCATGCCTCGGGGACAGGCACACGGGCTGGGCGCTGCTCCTGGAGCTGGGGCTTGGCTGTCCCTGAGCACGCGTGCTGCTCCTCAGGGCTTCACTATTCCTGCCGGACAAGCCAGCCGCCAGCCACTGGGCGCCAAAACCGGCAGCCACAGGTTTTGCAGGGAAGCCTCCCTTGGGGACACCCTACAGGTCAGGGGCTGTATTCCCGGGATCCTGTTCTTCCTGGCCGCAGTCTATACAAAAAGAACAGCGAGAAGGATGGATTGTACAGGCGGAGGCTGGAGCTGGGCTTTCGGGCACCGCTACCTGGCGGTTCTGAGTCTAACACCTCCCTTTCGTCCTCTAACCAAGCCACCCCGTGGCTGGAATTTGCAGCCGCTCCCTGGCTAAGTGCCCTCATTTTTTCAGTAAAAGCCAGAAATCTGGCTTGTTGGGTGTAGAATCTTTTGGTTTCCAGTAGCGCCACTGGCCCAAGACTGCAGGTCACATTCGAACGAGGCGTGGAAGGAACCACAGGCTCAAGGGGCCCCGCGCACGTGGGGAGGGCCAAGGGGAGACGGTCAGAGGTGTCCCCAGAGCCCAGCTGTCCCTGAGGGCCGCCCCAACCACGGAGGGTCCTCTCCCCCTCCCTCGCATCCTCTCGGCTGGCAAGCAGGCACTCGAGGGCTATAAAAGTGGGAGGGGGAACGAATGCACCCCCCAACCCAGCCATGGTGTCCCAGTGGCCCCCAAACACCGGTGCTGCAACCCGCCTCGCCTGCTGGTGGCTCTAGCGTCTGTCTCTGCCTCGCTTGTGGTCAGAAGGGTCTGACGCCCTTTTTCCACCTTCAGGGCCGGCCCCAAGCCACCCCTAGGGCTCGACACTGCCGGCAGGTGCACCAGCAGATCAAACGACATGCCCAAGGTCGGTGACCTTGTAAGCATAAACCAGCATTCCGAGTGCCATCTCCGTGCACCGCCGGGGGTTCCGGATGCTGTCCTGGGGCTCTGCCAATTAAGGCCTAAAGGCCAAACCTGACCCACCACCTGTTTCTGTGGGGTCTAAAACCTAAGGATGGTTTTTACCTTTTTCACATGGTTGGGGGAGAAAAGTTAAAAGAAGAATGAAATTTTGTGCCACATGAAAATTCTACGGCATTCAAGGCTGGGCGCGGCGGGTCACGCCTGTAGTCCCAGCACTTTGGGAGGTTGAACTGGAAGGATCGATTGAGGCCACTAAGTTCGAGACCAGCCAGGGCAACACAGTGAGATCCAATCTCTACAAAAATAAAAACATTAGCCAAGTGTGGCAGCACGTGCCTGTAGTCCCAGCTACTCGGGAGGCTGAGGCAGGAGGATCGCTTCAGCCCAGGAGTTGGAGGCTGCAGCAAGCTATGATGATGCCACTGCACTCCAGCCTGGGGGACAGAGTGAGACCCCATTTCAAAAAAAAAAAAAGGAGAAATTCTATGGCATTTAGATTTCAGTGTCCAGGAAGGAAGCCCTACGGAAACGTGGCCACGCTCCATCAGGCACGGCCGGTCCAGGCTGCTTCCCTGCTCCAGCGGCCAAGGCGAGTGGCTGCGACAGGGCTCGCGTGGCTGGCAGAGACTGGAATGTCTGCAGTCTGGCCCCTTCCAGAAAATGCTGCATGTCATCACTTGTGGTACCGGCGCCCCCAGGCCCGGGGAGGCAGGGATGGTGGCTCCGCCACAGCCGCCCCTCCCCCCCCCACATCCCCACCTCTGCCCCTCCGGCTTCGACGGCTGGTGAACGAGAGGCTGGCCTCATCCCACCCCTGCCCCCCGGACAGCATAGAAGCTGTGTCCCCCCAAGACCCCCAGGCTGGCCCCACCCACCCGTGCCCCCCTGATGGCACCCACGCAGGCCCCGCGCCCCGGCAAGCGGGGCCAGGCCGTGCACCGGGCGGCTCCGTACCTCGGCACAGGCGCCCATGTAGTTGTAGACGCTGAGTGGGATCTTGACCTGCTCCCCGCGCACGACCAGCGCTGGCAGCGTGAAGTCCACGAAGAAGGGCTTGAAGGTCCTCAGCAGGGCAGGCTCGGCCACGCCCAGGCCCAGCGAGGGGGACAGGGCCACGGCCTCGGCCACCCAGCTGGTGATGGAGTCCGGGACCTGCACGCCCAGGGTGTGCTGGCCAGACGGGTCGCTGTGGAGAGACGGGCAGCCGTGGGCCTTCTCTGGGGCCCCGAGGGAGCAGACGACACAGGCCGCGGGGCTCGGGGAGGCGGCCCGGGACTGGGACCCGTGCGAGCGTGTGACCCGGAGAACGCCGCCCCTGGGCCCCGGCTTGCTCTAGCAGAAGACATCGACGGCGACCGCGGACGCGGAGCCGGCCGGAACACGCGTGCCGGGGTGCAAGCGTTGGCAGCGCACGCCCTGCCCAGCCTGGGGGAGAAAGCTGCCCACTGGCGAGACTCGTCGCTTGGGGTGTCCTCCGAGAAGACCGAGCAAGGTCGGAGAGATGGCTGGGCCGCGGCGGGTGCCCGTCACTGTGCCAGTCGCGCTGCGTGAAGCTGCCGCAGACGCCCGAGACAGCAAACACAGGACGAGGCTCCCAGGGGCAATGCATGGTAGGTGCCGGGGGCCCTGGCCACAGTTCTGAGCGCCCATCGATACCTAGCCTTGGTTTTTTTTTTCTCTTTGAGACAGAGTCTCACTTTGTTGCCCAGGCTAGAGTGAGTGTCGTGGCGTCAGCCTAGCTCACAGCAACCTCAAAACTCCTGGGCTCAGGCGATCCTCCTGCCTCAGCCTCCCGAGTAGCTGGGATTACAGGCATGCGCCACCATTCCCGGCTCATTTTTTCTATATATATAGTTGTTGCCAATTAATTTCTTTCTGTTGTATAGAGAGACGGGGGGTCTCACTCTTGCTCAGGTTGGTTTCGAACTCCTGAGCTCAACGATCCCCACACCTAGCCTCCCAGAGAGCTAGGATGACAGGCGTGAGCCACTGCGCCCGACCTAACCTTGTTTTATGATCCAGCAATTCCACTTCTGGGTATACGCCTGAAAGAACTGGAAGTAAAGTCTCAAAGAGATATTTGTACACCCCTGTTCGTAGCAGTATCGTTCACAGTAGCCGGAAGGTGGAAGCAACCCAAGTGTCCATTGAGGGAAAACGAACAGATAAACAGAAGAGCTATATACGTAGAATAGAATGGTATTCAGCCTTATGAAGGAAGGAAATTCTGACACATGCTACAACACAGAGGAACCTGAGGTCACTATGCTCAGTGACATAAGCCAGTCACAGAAAGACAATCACTGTATAATTCCACTTTTATGAGGTCCCAAGTATAGTCAAACTCAGGGCCAGGCGTGGCGGCGACGCCTGTAGTCCCAGCTACTTGGGAGGCTGAGGCAGGAGCATCGCTTGAGCCCTGAAGTTGGAGGCTGCAGTGAGCTCTGATCACGTCAGTGCACTCCAGCCTGGGCAACAGAGCAAGATCCAGCCCCAAAAACAAAAACCAAAAATACTCAGAGACAGAAAGTAGAATGGTGGGTGCCAGGGGCTAGGAGGGAGGGAGGACAGGGAGCCAGTGTTTAACGGGGACAGGGTTTCAGTTTGGGAAGAAGGAAAGTTCTGGAGCCGGATGGTGGTGATGGCTGCACAGCAACACGAATGTCTTTAACACCATTCACTTGCACACTTACAAATGGTTAAGATGGTACATTTTATATCATTTTACCCACGATTTTAAAAATAGGAAAAATAAAAATCGAGAGAGAGTGGACCATTCCTTTTTCTGGGCTCAGAGGCGCCCCCTCCCTGGTCTCAGACCTGCGCCGTCTGAGTCTCCCCTGCTGCGGCCAACAGAGGGGAGGGACGGTCCCAAATCCCGGCTCCCCGGCTCCAACCCTTCTGCGGCTGTCCACAGCCGCCCCGCCCCTCCCAGTATCGGGATTCTCTCTGCTTCTCGAAAGGGCTCCACCATCCTCTACCTCCCAAGTCCTGTGCCCAGCCCTCCCCGAAAGCAAACACTGGCCCTGTCGCCACGTGACGGCTCTTTGGGCACCTGTCTACTCGGGCTAAAATGAAAATGTCCTGAGTGCTGGGACCCCGCATGTCCTGTCCAAGCGGCTGTCCTCGGCATCAAAATCGTCACCTCGTGCCTAAAACGCAGCTACCTTTGAGTGACGATCGGCGGACAGCCTGTCTCACAGCTGGGCCCCTGGAACAAAGCAGGGTAACCTCGGGGTGCTCTGAGCGGGAGTCAGGCCTTCCCACCCTGGGGGCGCGAGGCGCATTGTCACAGCAAAGCCCACCCGGAAGAGGGGCACCGCTCGCAAGCCAGTCTGCCCGCCAGCCCGCGCCGGACAGGCGGTCGGAACTGTCACGCCCAAGAGCTTGGCCGCGGCAGGCCCCTGCCACCTTCTGCGTGGTCCCATTGATGCTGTGACACCAAGCGCCCAGAGAAAAAAGCCAGTTGCATCGGGCAGAGATTTGGCCCCTGCACTCCTGCTTCAAGGAGAATTAAAAGAGAAAGAAAAAAAAAATCCGGAGATGTGCCCAATGCTCTGGGGGGCCCCTGTCCCCAAGTGTGGAGATCTCTGGGCCCCGTCCCAGTGGAGGGCTCCCTGGGCCCCCCGTCCCAGTGGGGCAGCTCTCTGAGGCCTGCAGAGTGGGGCCCGGGCAGACAGACAAAGACG